GATGGTTATGCTTTGTTTCATTTCACTTCCCTATCTATACAGCCCAGCCTTCAGATCTAAGAGCCTTCCATCTATTAAACTGCTTGGCAATTCAGGTCAAAAGAGAATACTATTCCTTTTGGCACACAAACACACAGACCCATCCAGAAAGGTAACTGCATTCTGTGCTATTGCTTTCACCATATGAGAATTGACAGTTTTGAATCATCACCTTTGCCAATTAAATATGAACTCTTCCTGTTCCTTAGAAAAGCTTTATCTGTTAAATGTCTATGGAGATTCTTAGTCATCCAGGTCATGGTTGTCCCAAAGGTGCTTTTTCAAAAAGCAAGAGGACTTTTTGGTTTTTCTTCGAAGACATTTCACTTCTCACCCAAGAAGCTTCTTCAGTTTTGACTGGATGGTGAGGAATGGAAGGATTAATACTCCTTGCAGACAGATGGTCATTTGCATTCTTTTAAAGAGTCATTAAGGCCACCTAGAGATTTATCTCGGTCCTCAGGGTCACCTGAGCGGTGCAAATGGGTGTGGAGCCTTCTTGGAATTGTTGAAAGGACTGTGTTGTAGACTAAAGACAGATGATGTTATATCCCTCCCCTTCTGTTGAGAGAGGGATGTTCAATTTTGACATAGATGGCCTCCTTGACCCCTCTTTCAAGCCAGAGGTCCTCTCTATCCAAAATGTGGACTTTGTTGTCTTCAAAAGAGTGGCCTTTGTCTTTCAAATTCAGGTGGACTGCTGAAACTTGTTCTGATGGGTTTGTTCTCCAATGCCCGTGATGGCACGCGTGCCACAGGTGGCACACCTACCCATATCAGTGGGCATGCCAGCTCAGCTCTGGGGTGCATGCGCATACCGGCCAGCTGATTTTTGAGCCTTCTGGGCCCGCCAGGAGTAGGGAAACAGGCTGTTTCCTGCCTCCAGAGGGGCTGTGGGGAAGGCCCGTTTTTCTTTCTTACCTGGCTCCAGATCCTCTCTATCCATCTGCGGAGGGCGAAAACAGCCTTTCCCACTCCCTCGGAGGCCCTCCGGAGGCCTGAAACGGCCCATTTCCCAACTCCCGGTGGGACAGGAAGTGACTTTTTTTGCTGTCCCAAGCCTCCAGAGAGGCTCTGGAGACTGGGGACAGTAAAAAAGTCATTTCCTATCCCACCGGGAGTTGGGAAATGGGCCCTTTCAGGGCTCTGAGGGAGTGGGAAAGGCTCTTTTCACCCTTCCAAGATGCATAGAGAGGATCTGGAGCCAGGTAAAAAAGAAAAATGGGCCTACTGGGCCATCACGTGCCAGGAGGAGGGAGGGGAGTTGCACATGCATGTGCATGGCAGGGCGCATAGAATTATGGGTGTGAGCACCCACACGTGTGAACCTCCCCCGCCCACCCCTCCTGGCACACGATGGCAAAAAGGTTAGCCATCACTGTCCTATGCTGTGTCATACGTTTATGAAGTGGTTCGTATCTGTTAGCATTTAGTTGTGAATTTTTGCACCTTTACAGTATGATACAAGGTATCTAAGGAGGGGTTGTAAAAGAAAATCAAGACGGGGATAGGTCCTGTCCCTTTTTAATATGTGGTACATAATCAAGATGAACATTTAAAAGGGGGAGGGGCTTCAATCATGTGATCACAGTCACCGAGTTGATTTGGTTTTATATTTCTGCAGATGTTCCTGCTGGCTTACAACCATAATAAATCTTACATAGAGGTAGTCCTTGACTTATGACTGTTGCTTAGCGACTGTTTGAAGTTACAACAGAGGTCCCCAGGGCAACCTATGACCCAGGTCTAAAGCTCCAATAGCTCCTCCCATAGTCACATTAACATATTTTGGGCACTCAGCAAACAGCCCAGATTTACAACTGTTTGCAATACCCTGTTGTCATGTAAGTGCAATTTACGATGCTTTTGTCAAAAACTGATCTTTACTTCTGGTTTTCGGCAAAAACACCCCATAATGAACAATGGGTTCATTTTACAACAGCAAGATTTGCTTAATGACTGCTACAATAAAGGTCACAAATTTGGATCAGTCATGTGAGTTCCCCATTTTACAGCCATCACAATTTACCACTGTAACTGGCAGGGAATTGTGGTGGGTGGGAGTGTGTTTGGGGATTGTTATGCGTGTTGGATCTGGTCTTTGGGTGTTAAGTGAATTTCGTTGTATGGGTATACTGTGTATACACGTACAATGACAATAAAGTTATTATTATTATTAATAGAATATACCATACTATACTGTATGATAATCTACTGTCTTGCCATCCTCTGCCCTGCCCTGCCCTGCCCTGCCCTGCCCTGCCCTATCCTACCCTACCCTACCCTACCCTACCCTACCTGACTCTACTCTATCTTTAGAGCTTAAGTACTCTACTCTAATATACCCTAAACCAGTGATTCTTAATCTTTTTTTCACCATGGACCCCCTTTAAATACTTTTTGTGGCCACGTACTCCAAAGACCTAACTCAAGATTTAAATCATAACATTTCTTCAAGCCTTTGTGGACTCCCTGTGATGACCATGGGGTGAGAACCACTGTCCTTTACTCTACTATACCCTATATTATCCTTAGAGCTTAAGTACTCTATTCTACTCTACTCTACTCTATCTACTCTACTCTACTCTACTGAGAGTTTAAGAAATGACCAGTTTAAATCTGATTTGGGAACAGAGGCTGAATTTTGTCATGTGGATTTCAGGAGATAAAGAGGAGAATGAAAGTAAAATATTGAAATTGCTACAGATTGTACTTGTCATGAGATGTCTAAAGGAGAAAGAGCATATAATCTTGTTACAGGACAAAACATTAATTTTTAGTCCTTTGCCAAATGGACTTATGGAAACCTTGATGTATAGAGAAGAATGCACAGCTGTGAATATAAGAAACTGCCTTATTCAGTATCATACAGTGGTTCATTTAGTACTGTCTACTGTTTTAGTTCTCCAGAAATACAAAAAGGAAAGTTTACCCATTTATCCAAGCAGGGGAGCCCATAAGGGTGGGTGGAAAAAAGTCAAGATGGTGGCCGCAACTGCATGATTGAATGCCCCGTTCCAAGCAATGTTAAGTACTGAATCTATTATTTTCCACAGCCCAAACGAAACTGTTCTGTTTTAATAAAAGTCAGGAGCACGTAGGTCACATTCTCCTTAATTCTGAATAGGCATTGTGAATCACAAATTATATTGGCTTGCTATGAATAAAAATTAAATATCTCAGACAGCTATTTATCTTGATCACATCTGTTGCACATTGTACATCTTTGTTCATCCCAAGCTGTTCTAGAGTTAGAAATGTTCCACTTCTGGGGAATAGTGTTATTTTCCCAAATGTCTTCTGAGGGTTTGGAAATTATAGAGTTGTAAAGTAAAAAAGGAGAGAAGAGACTTTGGGGACAGAAATAATAACGTCTATAAAATGTTAATTTTGCTGATGCCAAATGGATTAATGATTAGATGACAGAAGATGTGATTACAAAAGTCAAACACTGAGACTATCAAGCCCCTTGATATGGACCAGGGAAATATCTGGGGGTCAGAAAAATAAATGGAAGGCATAATGGAAGTCTTCATGTTCTCTGAGCTTGATTGTTTGCTTGCAGACTTTTCATTACCCAACTGGGTAACATCATCAGTGAGAAGAAGTGTGGGGTTGGATGCCTATTTATATATAATAGCTTGTTCTGTCAGTTTAGAAGGGCTAGATAGTTGCTTTTAACTAGTAAAAGTCACTACTACTATCTATTACCATTCAAAACTTTTTAAACTGAAATCACATTGTTTTGTTGGAGATATAACAGCTAAAACATCAGCTGTTATCCATGAAAATCTTCAAGGGGAAATTTGCTGGAAAAAATTAGCCCAGAGCTGGACTAAGAATGTATGGAGAATGTGTTCTTGATCCTCCTTGTAATTTCATCAGGTGAAATCTTATACTTGTGGAAGGCTGTCAAAATAAAGCTGTCAAAATCATACATAAAATATGAAAATTGAGCCTGGTAAGATAGGACATTTGCATGGGCTTCACTCCTTGAAATAATAATTTTAAAAGCATGCCCATTATTCAGAGAACATACACTGTACTGCTATCTCCTAATTAGATATTTCCATAAAGTTATAATAAGCTTTTAAACTAAGATCCTCCTCTCCTCCTTGCCAGATCCTTGGCTCTCGCTGCAAACTGGACGGATTTCTGCTGACTTGGCCACAAATAGGCCAAGCAATTTCACAAGTGGAGAGATGCTTGAGATTTTTTGTTCAACATATGAAGTGAAAGCATTAGTTTAGGAATAAAAGAAATCTGCTTCTGGTCACAATAGTAATGGGTAAAAGTCTTGTGCTATGACTCCTGCTGTTATTACCTAGCTTAACAAAGCCTCAATACAGAGGTATCCCACTTGCGTACAAGTCTCATATTCCCTTACTATTGGCATTTATAAAAACTGGAAGTTCGCATCATCAAAAGGGCACCTAGGGGTCAGATTGCCTGCATGCCTCTTAAGGATAACAGAAGTGACACAGAATATTATTTTGAAAGCCGGGACACTTGCAGAGGACTGGAAGAGCTAAATGTTCTAAGTTCAGCCCCAGTGGCAAAGATTATGTTTTGAATTCACAAGATCACACATTCAAGTCCTTGGCATCCACAGAGGGGTCTCAAAGCCTTGAACATTAAAATCTTCAGAACAATTACAAATCAGGCAGAAGAAGCCGGACCAGGAAAACCTAGTCATGTCCTCTATATGAGATGATATTAAGCAGCATTTCTGTTTCTTTGACATTATCCTTTATTAGAACAGCTAGCCATTCTGGTTGTTACATATAATCTGGGTTAACAAAATCACAAATAAGGAGGTGATAAGCCGCCTGGGAAAACAAAGGGAAATCATCAAAGCCATTAAAAAGTGAAAGTTATAATATTTTGGACATATGATGCAACACGCAGAAAAATACAGCATCCTTCATTTAATCCTCCAGGGAAAGACTGAAGGCAAACGAGGTCCAGGCAGAAGAAGAACATCATGGCTTCAAAACCTAAGGGACTGGTTTGGACAAAACTCAGCAGCACTTTTTCATGTGGCTGTTGACAAAAATAGGATTGCCAACATGATCTCCAGTGTCTGATGATGGATATGGCACAAGAAGAAGAAGAAAAAGCCATTCTATCCTGTTTAAAAGTGAAAGGGCCAGAGGAAAAGAGGTGATGTGATTCTTTATCTTATTTTTAGAGGACTGATTCTTGTTTTTTTAATGTTTTATTTGTTTTATTTATATAACATTCAATTTTCATCAAACAGTGTGTGGTCTGGGTACACAGTTATTTTAAAACAATCATGATACACATATTTGTTGTGGTATTCATCACTGTAATATTGATAATATGATAATATAATAACAATAATACTAAATATCATCTTCTTTAACAATGCTCCACTTTAGCATTTCCTCCTTTTATATCTCCTCCTTTCTAACTTCTGTTTCTATTGTCTAGCCATTGATAAAATATGTCCCATATCAAAAAATATTCAGTTTCTTCTTTATCCTTAATAGTAAGCATTAGTCTAACCATTTCTGAGCATTTAATATTTTCTTAATTACATTCTCTCAGACAGTATGATTCTGATTCACAGTTTATGGCTGGCCTGAATATTAAGAAGCCAGACAAAGACATTATGTTCCCAATAAATGTGAAATGTTTCACGATTAAAATATGCTACATCTAAATATGCATTTTTTAAATAAACATATTTATACAAATTTTATGTAATAGTGAAATCTTTTTTGGGGGAGCGAGGGTCGGGATGGGAGCAATGTATATTGAAGTTTATAAGACTGAATTCTCTGATGGAATTCCCAAATAAATGAACATTATACCTGTTATGAGTCTGTAGAGAGAACTTAGGGTGACTTTAGAATTGCTGTATTATTCCACAATACTCAGGCAGCTCTCCAGAAGGAAAATTGCCTGAGATGTACATAGAGCTTGGACCAAACTTAGAAATGCCTTAAGTCTTATATATAATATTATGAGCCACGGTGGTGCAGTGATTAGAGTGAAGTACTGCAGGCTACTTCTGCTGACTGCTGACTGCCTGCAATCAGGCAGTTCAAATCTCACTAGGCTCAAGGTTGACTCAGCCTATCATCCTTCCGAGCTGGGTAAAATGAGGACCCAAACTGTTGAGAGCAATATGCTGACTCTATAAACTGCTTAGAGAGGGCTGTAAAGCACTGTAAGGTGATATATAAGTCTAAGTGCTATTGCTATTGTTATATCAGTTTCACATGTTCTGGAAATCTGTGCAGAAAACAGGCTCAGAGCCATGAAAACAGACTGGGGATAAGGCTACAAGTTTGGGAAATACTGAATTTTCCCAGGAGCAAAATTCATCAATACAAAGGAATAAATTTTAGCTCTCTCTAATATTGGACTATGTGAGGAGAGGTCAGATTCATGTTGCTGAGACTTTTTCCCACCTATTTGTCACCTAATTGGGAAAGAAGTCGAGAGTCAGAGGGGAAAATAGGCCAACAGTAGACTTTAGCAATATTGCCCAGGTATTGATATCACACATACAGTACATTGCAGTAGGGTAGAACAGCACAGTAATGATGATGTCCCCATGTTGCTGAAGATACTTCATTTAGCTTGGCTGGTGGGAGGTGAGTGGGGGGGGGGAGGACTTGACATTCAGTCTTTCACTCCTACCAAATACAAACAAATGGTTTTTGGCAGTGATTTGCTCTCCAAGCTTGTTTCAATTTAGTTTCTAAACATTTAGTTACCAAACTGGGTAACATCATCAACAAGGTTTTCTTATCCTATTCTCCTTAGCTTATAAATGTCTTGTGTGCCAATGTGATCAGTTAGTCGTTTGTTTGGTTGGTTGTTCGTTTGGAGCTACATTTAAATTCTGAGCAGCTGATTGGTTCTCTTGTTGATTGGTTGTTCGAATGGTCTGGTTTCTCATTTATTCATATATTGAATCTAGATCAATATGCTTGTTGATTCTTTGGTAGAATACCAGGCTTCAATAAATTCACCCGTGTGTGGCGGGTGTTAGCATATTGAATGATTTTTGTTCCTTTCCAATAGAACTGGTGTTATTTATTATCAATGTGGGTTGAGATCAGGGAAACAAACGGTGTCCTGATTCTTTTCAAGGAAATTTATTGTGGATTTCCAATCTGGATGACAAGTTCTATCCTGTATGATTAATTCTGAATAAACAAGAGTAACATAAATAAGATAACAGACAGATTTTTTAAAAAATAACAAGTAGAAACAAGATAGCATAGACAAGGCAGATTTCACACCAAATGGCCAATGAGCTTTTTTTCTTGAGTGAAGTCCTGTTTGCATAAAAGTCAAACTTTATATTTGATTAATTTTACATAGAAATGACACTAATGCCCTCATTGCATAAATATTATCAGGAAAGAAAATATGTGCTTGATTCTCTTAAATGGACAACTGAATAATGTCAGAACTATGCCAAAGTGTTCTGAATGGAAATGGCCATGATTCAAAATAAGGAATCATTTCTACGAGGGATGATTTTTGGAGACTTCAGTTTTGAGCAAAAGGCCTGCAATTAAATAAAGAATAACATTGAAAACATAGAAACAGAAAGAAAGGAAGACTAAGGAACAATAAAGAAAATATTTATTGTATTTATTTAACATTATGGTTCAATTATATTGCCATGATCAATATTGATGATATGGACCAGACAGATTCCTGAAAGACTGTGTTAATGGTTATCATTTAGAAAGAACAGCTGTGTGATTAAATATTAATTGTTAGGAAGCACAATGTAAACTGGCTGGTACCTTCACGTCCAGATATGAGATCCACAGATTCAGCTGATTAGCTACCATATGACGCATAATAGTGGATTGGATAAGCTTTTGATTTGATCTAGCAAAATTATCCTTAGATTCTTTTGTGCAGGCAATGAAGCAAAAAGAAGCAAATGTTATTCAAAATATAGTATCATTACTCAGATACCTATAATATATATCAGGGTTGTGGTATGATATGGTATGGTATGGTATACTATACTATACTATACTATACTATGCTATGCTATGCTATGCTATGCTATGCTATGCTATGCTATGCTATGCTATGCTATGCTATGCTATACCAGGGGTGGGTTCTACCTACCTTTACTACCGGTTTGCAACGGAGCCACACATGCATGCTCGCTTTGCTCGCTCACTCGCTTGCGCACTCTTCTGCGCATGCGCAGAAATATTTTGATGATGTTGGGGTCAATGGGCGGAGCCTCCTGCCGGTTTTACTACCAGTTCTATAGAACCGGTGAAAACTGGGGGCAACCCACCACTGTACTATACTATACACTGGAAAATGCCAGACTGGAAACTATAGAAAAGTGTTTTAACATATAATGGTTGAGATCGTTAATCAAGTACGAATCTTTATCAAGGGGCACCTGCGTATGCATACAATGAAATCCATAGAAGGTTAGGTGACACATGCTCTAAATTCCAGAACGGTTAATAAAATGCTAGTAGGTAAAACAAAAGTGAACAATTTATGCTCTTCCAGATGTTGCTGAATTTCATCTCCTAGCATCCCTTGGCATTGAGCATAATCATTTAGATTGCTCAGCACAGACTTCCTACTTCTGATGTAAAGGGTGAAATTTGTTTTTTGAATACCATTCAGACAAATATATTTTTCTCAAAAATGAATAAGTCATTCTGTGAGTTAGCAGCACAGAATGCTGCCTTATGCCAAATTAATCCACTGCTCTCAGGCCTACCTGAAGACATCAGAAGTTGGCTTGAGAGCTTTCTATTCCTTGCAGCTCTGCTGCAAAGCTACAGAGAATTCTACAAGGAATGTATTGACTCCATTGTTGTAGTTAATTATTATCACCCCCTGTTCTTGTTTATAAACAGAGAAAGAAGAAATGGTTACTTGTCAATAGCTAACACAATGGACATGGTGAATGGAAGCTATAGGAAATTTTGCTCATTATATAGAACAACAGTCCTCAACCTTTCCAGCTCAGTTGACCAACAGCGGGCAGCAGAGGGAGGACATGGTTTTGCATACCCAAAACCCCATAATCCCATAAATGGAGTTTCACGTGCTCGTCTGCTGCTTGTGCGGTCAACAGGCCGCGGCCAGTATTGATCCATGAACCAGGGGTTGAGGGCCCCTGATATAGAAGGTAGAAGATTGAGAAAGCCCAAATGCTATTTAAAAAATCAGTTTTTTAATTAATTACTTTAACTGGTTACTTAAATGTTTTACAGACAGTGATCTACTCAAAAGTTTTAAAGCTTCTTGAAGATTAGAAAAGTTGGAAGTTTCTTCTTAACCCATAAATTTTCCTTTCCCTACTATCTTTATTTTCATTTGTATTTTCTATTATAAAATTTAATAAAGTTTTAATCAATTGTAAAAAAAAAAAAAGTTTTGAAATTGAATGTTTTGGTTGCCTTTTAGCCAACCCCTTTCCATATTTCTAAAGTTTTCATTAGAAACTTTCAAAAGGAAAAAGAAACTACAACCATCAAATAATAATAATATCTGAGAACTGATATCAAAGGCTGCTATTTCTCATATACTGTATTCATATGGGCAGCAGTATTACTAAAATGATTCAGTGGAGTGACTGCTGAACCATAATGAGGAAGTGGAAAGAGAAGAATAGCTGCAGTTTTCTTCTCCTAGAGCTATTGTGTAGTTAATATTCAGTTCTGTAATTTATTTTTTCATCTAGAAATGGAACCAGGAAGAATTGTTTCATAGTTCTATGTTTAGAATGCAAGTGTCACCTCATTTCCTCTCTATTAATCAGTTTCACATTCTTAACTTTGAGAATCATTGAGAACCGATGAGCTTAATTTAAAAATCTATCTTTTATTACCTAATTTATCTTACTCTGTCACAGTATTTCTCAGCCCTGGCAGCTTGGCAGCTTTCAGATAGGTGGATTCCATTGCAGGGCCTGCTGGGGAATTCTGGGAATTGGAGTCCACACATCTGAAAACTGTCAAGGTCTGGAAACACTGTTCTAAGCCATTTCCTTTTATTGCCCTGTCAATAGGATTGCTGTTTGAAGAAAGATAAATAGATAGATAGATAGATAGATAGATAGATAGATAGATAGATAGATGATAGATAGATAGATAGATAGATAGATAGATAGATAGATAGATAGATAATATGAAATGAGATTCTTTTACATACAAGAAAGCCATGACACAATTTGGAAGTTTGGAAGAAATATATGACTAAGCTATCATGAACATGATGAGTAACGTTTATAAGCCACAAAAATAAAGTAGTCTCCATGAAATTGTGACTCCTCCTTTAGCTCCCCCAGCTTTACTACTAAGGATTTCAGTTAAATTAACATCCATGATGCCCTCTAAATACTACAAGTCCTAAATAAATTTCACAGAGAGGGACACAGGTGCATAAATACCATGTTTTAGAGGCAGGTGCATGATTGGGGGTGGGAGGTCTTAGCAAGATGTCACCTTGATCATCTTAACAAGGGGAGCTATTGCTGCTTTCTTACCTCTTCCTTCCTGTACAGAAAACAAGCAAACCTTTCTGCAACTTGCAACCACTGCAACTTCTGTCTAAGTTCTCCAAAAGTCAGTGGATGAAGAACTTAGGACAGAGATGGCTAACCTTTTCCAGACCGAGTGCCCAAACTCGTAAGCGCGTGCGCATGAATGCACGCATGCATGCCCGAACTCCCAAAATGCAATGCGCGTGTGGCCCTGTACATGCACCCCACCTACCATACATGCATGCATGCCCTCGCATGTGCCCCCTGTGCATGTGCGCATGGTCCCCTGCATGTGCTCCACCCCTACCCATGCACGTGCCCCCACACATGCACGCCCCATGCATGCACCCCACCCCCTGCACATGTGCAGCAGAGATCCAAACATCAGCTGGCTGGCGGGAGGTGCACGCATGGCAGAACTGAGATGAGGTGTCAGCTTGCCTGTGTGCCACCTCTTGCATGCCTGCCATAGGTTCACTATCACGGACTTAGAATATCCCAGAGTAGCAGTCACACTGGGTCCCATTTGTGTGGGCAGCTAATAGATGATACCTCACATCAGGGGTGAAATCCAGCAGGTTCTGAGAGGATCTGGAGACCTGTCCAGAACTTTTGAGTAGTTTGGAGAACCGGCAAATGCCGGTCACAGAGTAGCTGGTCACAGAGTGGGGAGGGAATGGGGATTTTGCAGTATCCTTCCCCTGCCATGCCCACCAAGCCACACCATGTCCACGCTCACAGAACTGGTAGTAAAAAAAATTGAATTTCACCACTGCCTCACATATATAGGAAAAATGTGATTTGGAAATATAGCAGGAGCAGAATTTCTGTGTGATGCTGGGGAGAGGCCCTGAGAAGTCCTGAACTTCCCAAGGAGTCTGAGATGGGATGGGGGGAGGGCATAGGACAGTGCTGTTTAGCAAATTGAGACAGCACATATCACTGACTGCTATGGAGACTGCATGGAACAGTAATCAGAGGTGGGTAGGTAATTGATTAGCATACATTGTTAAAAGTAATAGGGATTTTCCATATTTTGCGTAAACAACCTTTTTCAGTCCCTTTCTCTGCTTTGGCCATGGTGATGACCTAATGAAGTGTCTGGATGGAATTTACCCATTAGAACATTTAATCAGTGGAACAACTTGAGTCTAGAAGTTGTAAATGCTCCAACACTAGAAGTTTTTAAGAAGAGATTGGACAACCATTTGTCTGAAATGGTATGGGGTTTCCTGCCTGAGCAGGGGGTTGGACTAGAAGATCTCCAAGGTCCCTTCCAACTCTGTTATTCCATTCCATTCTATTCTATTCTATTCTATTCTATTCTATTCTATTCTATTCTATTCTATTCTATTCTATTCATTCTAGTCGAGTCTAGTCTAGTCTAGTCTAGTCTAGTCTAGTCTAGTCTAGTCTAGTCTAGTCTAGTCTAGTCTAGTCCAGTCCAGTCCAGTCCAGTCCAGTCCTGTCCTGTCCTGTCCTGTCCTGTCCTATCCTGTCCTGTCCTATTCTATTCTATGTTTTCTTCTGCTTTCATTTTTTTTTTTACCATGGCTCCTGAACTATAAAAAGAATTTTTTTTTACCAATTTTCATACTATTTGGGCTAAAATGGGAATGACAGAACTCTGGTCAATTTTGGTTGGTTAAATCAAAATATAGGTCCTTCCTTTCAGGAGGAGGAAAATGAGGGGAGGGAGAGAGAGGGGGAGGGAGGGAGGGAGGGAGGGAGGGAGGGAGGGAGGGAGGAAGGAAGGAAGGAAGGAAGGAAGGAAGGAAGGAAGGAAGGAAGGAAATATTTTAATGGTTTTAACTCCCTTTTTATGACCCTGTAATCCCTTAATCCAGAGTAGAGTCGGGGCAACTAAATGGAGCTGAGTGTTACTGGTCAGATGCTCTTCCTGATGTTACTTGGAGTTTGCAGATTTTTTTTTCTTTGTGCCTTAGAAGAGAAACATCTGACGTTATCAACCTTCCGAGTAGGAGGCAAGACCACTAGACCACCACACTGCTCAATGGTTCAACAACAAGCTTCTAACAACTGAAAGACAGGTAAATTAAAACAAGTTAACTTCTTGTTGTTTTTAATAAGCTCAACTTTTTTGCTATTCTATTGGTGAACCTGAAAAAAGAAGAGAAAGAAAATGGCTCTGGAGAGCAATGGACCAGTAATTTTTAGGAAGGAGGCGCACGGCCACAGCGTTTAATGATCATCTGGAGTAGAAATGTTTGCCTTTCTGTAACATACCAGGTGAACCCGACATCAGTGTTTCAACTGCCACAACATGGAAAATGTAACTTTTGATGTGTAGCAGAAAAAGATGGGTAGAGTTTGTCTTGCCAGTGTACTTGGGGCAAGCAGGAGACAATTTAATAGATTTTTCACTTTGAATTTCATTGGGACAACTGGTCACACAGTCCATAATCTAGAGGTATAAGTAATTTATACACTTCTGTAATCCCAGCAAAACAAGGAGGCACATTTTACGTGCCCTTCCAACTCCCACATCCTATGAAATGGATTTGGCTATGAAATGTTAACCGGCTTCATGCATATTATTTGAACCACCTGGGAAGTAAGATTTCAGGGGCTTTCTAATGTGGGATTTCTTACAACCATCCAGTATAGGATGATAGCAATAACACATAGACTTATATACCACTTTACAGTGCTTTACAGCTCTCTCTAATCAAGTTACAGAGTCAGTTTATTGCCGACCTTGGAAGGATCGAAAGCTGAGTCAGCCTTGAGCCTGGTGAGATCTGAACTGCCGAACTGCTGGCAGCCGGTGATCAGCAGAAGTAGCCTGCAGTACTGTACTCTAACCACTGTGCCACCATAGCTCTCTATCAATCAATGATGTAGATTGTATAATTAAACTATTTTAGAACTTTTCTAAAAGTTCCAAAAAGTCACAGCCTTGCCATGAATCTTTTACTTTGCAAATCCTGTCTGTCTGTCCTAATGATTCAGAAATTATTTGCAATTATTCCTAATTATTTCAGAAATCCAGGCAGCCATAGTTTGTTTTCTCCCATTTGAAGGCAGGAAATTAACCCTGATCTATTGCTGCATAAGAAATTTGCCAGCTTGTGTGGCCAAATAATGTTCAGGAGTCCATGGGGATTGCTCAGCTTCAGCTTTCTCAGGACTGAGAAAGCGTCTTTTGTAATAATACATTATTTCTGAATAAACTGTGATTTGTAAACAAGCCTATTTAATTCATAAACCAGCCCTTGTGAGATTCTCTTTTTTTCTTTTGTTTTCATTCTTTTGAAGATGTCTTTTCACTAGCTGATTTAAACCATTAAAACATTCTCTGACTCAAGAACAGCTGCAAAAGTTCTTCCATTTCCCACTTCTAACTCATGTTGGCTCATAACCAAAGCCAAATTCCTAGCAAGGCCAAAAGCAGAGAAGAGGCTACAAGAACAAGATGGTGTTCTTATTCTAATAAGGCAGGTGAAAGGTGGCCCAGCTTTTAATGAAAACACAACAGCAATGCATTTCCAGAGATGGCTCACATTTGTTTGGTCTCTCTTAATTTTTCTGGAAAAGTCATTATCAAGAAAAAGAAGAAAATGTTAACAATCCTTGCCAGTGACTGTTGCTTATAATGCTGTTCTGACCAAATCGTTTAAAAAGATATGCTATCTAATGTGGGCTTCTCCATGACCCCAAATAAAATTAAGCTCTGTGAAATATTTTTGTCCTTGTATTGCCTCTACAAGGCGACTTCTTTGTTTTATTCAGAAATATTGAATAAGTGCAGACCTGGGTGGTCAAAACAATAGTGCAATATCAGAACAGGGAGAATTAACCTTGAAATGTTGGAGAGGCTAGAATGTTTTTTTCCAAACAAATTACTCTGAGAAATTTCTTAGAGGCAATTAATTTTGGCCTATCTTTATTTATGTATTTGAAATCTCCTTGAAGACAAATATCTTCCCAAGGCAGCTTCCAGCAGAAAAATGGAAACATATTTTTTCTATTATTATTTTTTTAAAAAAAAATTTTAACAGGAGCCGTTATGAAAACAAACCTAAAAAGTCACCCTGACATATAAATGTAATCCTGTCAATTACCATAAAATAAATTTAAACTAGTGAAGATAAGACACCATAACTGTTCTAAGAAAAAGCAATATGAGGCAAGGAGGAATCTGGTAGAATCTATTCAATCTGGCAAAATGTATTAAAAGGTGCAAGTTTGTCAGCTTTCAGCTCACAAAATCTTATGCCTTTAAATTAAATTAGTGAGTCTTAAAAATACTACTAGACTCCTTCTGAGTTTGGGCTACCATAAGTTAACAAACTTTCCTCCCAAACTACAAAGTATTAATTTCTTAATGAAAGATGTTAAATGGCAGGTCCCATATCAATCTTCAAGGAAAGATGAATATTTCTTTATACTGTAATATTTTGAACCTAGAGAAGAAGTGCTAGATTGTCTTCTTAAGGTCGGTCACTATGGCTGCTAGTAGCCTGGAAACTTCTATCCAAGTCCATGGATATGTCATGAATGTATGAGTTATGAGTCATAACACATATGAATGGCCAGCAAGGTAGAGCCCCACATTGTATGACTGAACTGATGGCTTACCCATGTACCTTGATAGGAGAACACTGGAAAGGAATGCTGTTGGTGGGGAAGAAGGGAAGAAAGTAAGCAGAGATCCAGAAGGCAACAGTGGAATAGTAAATTTAAGAAATAAAAAGAATCCAAGAAAATCTCTGTGTTCTAGGAAGGAGCAGGGCCAAAGAATTGAGGAATTCAAAAGAAAGGGTGTGGCTCAACAGAGGAGAAGTCTTGGAAGAAACAGAAAGGGAACTTGAGATGGAAAACCTGGTATGAATTAGGGGCAAACTTTGAGGCACAGCCTATGAGGCTTTTATTTAAGAGTGGAAAATGGCTCAAACTTTCCCAGCAGGGAATCCGAGGTTGTGAAAGAAGATTCTTCAGTTCTGGGAATAATAGTAAGTAACCTGAAGGGGGAAGAATTATTCTGATCTGTAAAGGACATTTCCTAACTAAAGTACTGAATTGAATTCTAGGAGCCTACACCATACCAAGTTGATGCAGGATTCTGTCTCCTCAATTCTTTGAAAATGCACGCTGCAGTGGAAAACTACTTTTTTAAAATAAATAATTGGGAGAATGGGACGGAGACACTACGGGAGATCTTGAGATATCATCAGGTGAGTATAACGTTTAGATTTTGTGCATGTACTTTGGTAGAGTGGCCCCCTCCCCCAAAAAAAATTCACTTCTGCAACTGCCGACCCTCCCTAAATGGAGAGGGGCATCTAAAGTCGAATTCAACTTTTGAAATGGTCAGGTGGATCAATATGCTTTATTCAAGTTATCAACACAAAGGTAGTGAAAATATGCATTATTTCAGTATTTTCCATTTTCCCACAATTGATTCCCGGGCTTCAATGAAAAAAAGAAAAGAAGATAAATGCCTGATACATGAGTTGAACTGGGAAGCAGGCTTAGATTCTATCCCTGGGCCTCTTAGAATCTTGAAAAGTCCTCAAGATCCACAGGTGGGGCTAAGCAAACACAGCCACGGAAACCCCATTGATAATGAAGCTATTGGCTCAGGTATTGTAGATATTATTTGGATACTATATTAAGAGATGGCAATGTTTTGCTTTAATTTCCTGTCTATGTTCTCCTAAGACGCTAGTAAATTCCACTTCTAGATACATTCGAGTGTGTGTGTGTGTGTGTGAGGCTGTACATTCAGCCTCTTGCTATATTGATTCATAATAACTTTCCAGTTGATATATATCATGAATAGCTTTTCTTTTTATCACAAAGAAAGCTTGAAGATCCTTCAGACATTTTACCCATTTCTAAATCCTGAGAATGGGTCTTAACATCTCCTTCTCTAATGGAAAAAAGAAGCCATACTTTTTCGCTTATTCCCCCCTTCCCCTCACTACCACTATCATGATTGATCACTTTTTAAACCCAACTTCCTTTCAGTGAAGATATGGAGGGCAGTGATTCCTATCAGTGGTACCGGAACAGTATAAAGGGTGGCTTTGTTTGAAAATCTCCAGTGATGGAGCACCACATTTCCAAGAAATAAGCTGTTTCTTTGCTTATTAGTTTTCTGGTCAGGAAATTTTCCCCTTATTTCAAGTAACCAAGAATGAACAAATGGTAGTTACAGCTGGTCCTCCAAGTACAGGTGTTGAAATGCCCCTATGGTCCACGATCAAAATTTGGTCGCTTAGCAGCTTTTTCACATTTATGCCTACAAGGTGTACCTGTCATCCCACTTAGAATCGTTAAGTGAAAATTACCTGTAATAGCCTCTTCTCTGAGTCAGACCTTCAATTACTGAAAGACTGCTAAGGACTGTCCACTTAGCTTTCTCTTCTTTAGGCTAAACCTATCCAGATCTTTAAATAATCCTTCACAGGTCATCAAGTGTTTAGTCACCAAGTTCCTCGGAATCTTTCTTGCTTTTTTTTGCCCTCTATTTCCTCAGCATTCTTCCTGCATGATGACCAACACTAGTCTATCTCAGAGGTGGTCTTACCAGTGCAGTGTAAAGAGGAAATATCACTTCCTGTGATTTTGACATTATACCTCTATTGATGCAGGCCAAGATTACATGAGCTTTTTTTTTTTTTTTTTGGCAGCTGTAAGGCACTATTGACTGATGCTTAATCTGTGGACTACTAAGCCAGATGCTTCTTGCAAGTATTACTGCCAAGCCACATACTGTCTATCTTGTGCATCTGGTTTTTTTTTCCCCCAGCTTCAAGGAGGACCTAACCCTGAACAGCATTTTGCTGAATAGATGCCAGTGTTCAAAAACAAGAGATTCTTCTGACCTTTTGGAGATGTTAGCAACTCACCCAGCATTGTGTCATCTGCAGATTTGCTGAGCCTCCCTTCTACCAAATGGTGAAGACCAACGGACCTTCCTGAGCCCCGGGTGTCCAAGTGTGGACATGTACATATATGAAATACAATCCAAATTGAACACAGCTGCTGTTATTAATTATAAACACAATCTATAATCCTCGATCTTCATAAAAACTTGCAGTTTTACCAAAAAAAATTGCATAATGAAACTGTTTCCTTCAAAACATTAAGCAGCTTGTAATGACTACATTGCAATCAAAATGTTAATAACAGAGATGAAATTTCGTGTAGGGGAGCCTTCAAGTCTTCACTACTGGCAACTGCAAGGAATAGTCCTTTAAGTTTTCTCCATAAGAATTTGGAACTGATTTGTCCCAGCAATTTTTCCAAGGCTAAGAGAGACTGACTGGCCCACAATTACCAAATGGTTTTGTGCCTCAGGCCAGACTAGAACTCACCTTCTGGTTTTCAGCTGATGCCTTAACTGTGCCACCAAACAGGTATTCAAAAGTTAAAGACTTAAAAACTTTAAGTCATTAATTGCTGTAACGATTTCTATAACAATCCTTTTATGGCCTTACCCTAACTGCATAAAACAGAGATACTTCAACTAAAACATTTCTCCGTTTTGTCATTTACAGGCTTCATTACCACAGCACAGGGTTTTTACAGCTGAACTTTCTGCATGTTTACTCAGAGTAAGTAAGACTCATTGAATTTAATGAGCCTTACTTCCATGTCAGCAGGATGAGGGCTTCACACTTGTTTTCCACCATTGGAAGATCATTGCTTGAAAACTAGGTAGCTTAAGACATTCCCTCTTACAAGCCAAACATAACCATAGCATGGGAGAAAAGAACATTTCAGACTCCCAGAAACACTGTATTTTATCCAAATAATCCTGAAATAATAAAAAGGGCAGAGCCTAGAAGGCTCCTTTTCACACACAAGTTATACATATATAATACTGATTTTAGCAACATTAAAATAACAACCACCCTGAGAACATAAATAAGGAAAGCAGAAGTAATATTTTGTATTTCCTCTCATTTTTTTGTTTATTTTCCCCAGGGAAAAGGTGAGAGATATGAGATTAAAGTTATTCCCCCGTGCTGGGCTTGGATAGCCAAGGTAATCAAAAAGAAAAACGTAAATATCCGATCTTTATCTTTACATGTGTGCCAAAATCAATGCGCTCTAATTAGAGCATGAAAACCAAACACGAGAGGGCTAAGACCTGTTCTATTTGAGGGTACTAAAACTTTTTCTCCCCATTCAAAAATACAGACAGTTTCTTACTTTAGCCAACACATGGACAAATGAAAAAAAAAAATGACTCAATTTTTGGAGAGATTAAAAGATGCCTAAAATAAACAAAATAAATATGACTTTCTTCTTCTTCACTTCCTCTGTGAAGGCACATCAATGGTCTTACCCCACATTTTTTATTCGAGAGCAGAATTTCCAAGAATGCTTATGATTTTTTTTCCCTTTCCCATGCTTTGTTAACAGAACATATTCTGTATTCTCCTTCTTTACTTCTGTCAGCTGTTTTAGGAAGATGTCTCTGTGGAGAAAAAAAGCTTCACTCCACAACTTCAGATAAATAACTCCAATATTAGATCAGACAAGTCATTCAGACACTAGTCTTCAGAATATCCTGAGCAACCAGGTTTCCAAGCAGAGGTGGGTTGCTACTGGTTCACCCTGAATCAGGCGAACCGGTAGCGGTGGTGGTGGGAGGCTCCACCATACGCCTGGACGCTTGTGCGCATGCATAGAAGCATCACGTGCATGTGTGAGTGCCCATGTGCCCACGAGCAAACCAGTAGCAACGGGTTTTGCAACCTGCCCGTTTCCAAGTAATAAGATTTTATTATCTCTTATAGGACACATTACTTGTGTAATAAGATATGGATTCTCCCCACCCACCCCAAAGCTGAATCTTTCCCAGTGCTTGTTTGCTTGTTTGTTTGTTTGTTTGTTTGTTTAGAAAATTTATATAGCTGCCTATCACTCACAGACACTCTAGGCAGCTTACAAACAATAAAAACACAATGCAGGAGAAAAATAAAAATAAAAAAACAATAACAACCTTCCCCAGCGACAACACACAGTCAAACAAGCCATTTTATGAGCTCCATCCCACTCTGGGTTCAACAGGCCCTCTAGCAAAACTATGTCTTCAGGGCCTTATGAAAGAGTGTCAAAGTCTAATTTCTGAAGGCATGATATTCCAAAGGGATGGGGCCACCACAAAGAAGGCCTTTCTTCTGGGTCCTGCCAGATGTAGCTCCTTAGGGGAGCAATTAGAACGGGGACCTGCAACATTCCTTGCTTCCCCGTTCTAATTGGTACCATTGACACTGTTTCCACCTATTTCTTAGAGAAAACCAATAAAAAAGACATTCCTCCAATAGACTGTATCTTTCAGCTTTCTTTTAAAAAGTAGGAAGCAGATACTCTTGCAGAGCAGTTGGCCAATGGTTGCATACATCACCCCATCTGAACAACTGGAGCAAAACACAATTGCTGTCATGCCAGCCATTGGTACAAATGGAAGTTCCCATTTGTAAAATGTTTTTTTAAAAAACAACAACAACCAAATCCACTGCAGTTTGCAGCAACAGGAAGACAGAACCAAGGATCATAGTACTGATTCATCAGAAAGACTCCTTCACTGAACAAATGGGATTGAACACACATGGGTTAATGGCATGGATCTCCCACAGAATGGCTTTAGATAGTGAGATGGGTGGCATATAAATTTAATAATAACTAACTAATAAATAAATTCTGCTCCTTTTCCTTTTGACAACCGGCATGTACTAACAATGGTTGCAGCATCCTGCGGTTATGTGATTGTCATTTGCAACCTTCCCAGCCAGTTTCTAACAAGCAAAGTCAATGGGGAAAAGCTGGATTTATTCACGTGATTCACTTAATAACTGCAGTGCTTAACTTCTGTGGCAAAAAAGGTTATAAAATTGAACATGATTCACTTTAACACCTGCCTCATTTAAGAACAGCAATTCTGATTCCAATTGTGGTCATAGGTCGAGTACTGCCTGTTTAAGAAAGATAAATCCATGCTTTTTTTTTAAATTTGTAAGTTTCGCTACAAGACTATAATGAACCTATATGTCTTGAGGCTGCCCTTATATGATGTATGAACAAGGACGAAAACCCTAAAACGCTGGCATAGTTAACAATGATTGAAGTCGGTGTCAGTCTAGTGCTGTACATAACATCTAGTGCTGTATATAACACAACATTGCTGCAAACCAAAATCAAATAAAATGTCGTCAGGTCATATTTATGCTTTGTTGGGGTACATATGACTTCTCCACTTCCCACCTACTTTGGCATTAGTCCTGCCCACATCTGGTCTATTGCCTTCAACAGATTATTTGTGATCCAGACCAGGCCAAAAATACCAGGGAATTTCTAGAAGCCTGGCACTCTGACAAAACAGCCATCAATAGACACATAGACATTAACAATATCTATAGACTACGCAAAAGAGACAATCAACCATCTCAAAAGAGAATAAAAACACATCAGCACCTCCCCACCAGTAATCAGCACCCAGATCAGCATAGATTAACTCCAAGGTTGATTTCAGATCAAAAATCAAGTAAGCAATACCCCAATCCGGAAACTGCCACAGAGCCATCAATAAAGAGCTCAACCAAAGAGTTTCTAAGACCGCCTCCACTCATACAGACAAGCAAGTCACCAGAATATAAACTGACAGCAAACAGTCTTTACTAGCACCAATGATGTTACCTAATTATGGTAATGAAACATTTGCAAGAAAACAAGCAAGCTCAGAGAGCACTAAGGACCCCTTAGTTTATTTGTGAGAATTGCCCATCTCTGCATAGAAACGGCTTTCCAAACCTGGGTCAATTATTCAATTAATTTTCCTTCGGGTAATGACACACAAACGCCATTACCAAATCACAATAGGGACATTTAACATTTGACAAAGTGTTTCACCTACATTTTAGAAACAGCATCATTGAAAGTTATCTAAAATTGCTCCAGATTAATTTCCTGTTAACATAAATTATCGAGGATATCTGAAATGCAATCCAACAGCAAGATCTTAATCATATGTAATTTTTGGATTTTTCAGGCAGCAAACACCCAATTTGGTTTTACATTTGAGCTTTGCAAAATATTTCCAGGAATTGTACTACATAAATTGCAGGTTTCTAAATGTTAGGTTCTGCCACTGGGACATCATTGAGGCCTTTTGCTTTTGTAATTCCAACAAGTGCATTTGAGTACTAGCATGCCAGAAATGACCTGGGGCTTATTGGCCATAAGCCTACATGTGCCCTCAATCACAGGCCTAGACCTCCACAGATTATGTACATGAAACCACATTGTACAGTAGAACTGAATTACACTGAATGCATAACAAAGCGTGCTATTTTTAGAACATGCTGCTTTTAAGTGGACATTTTAAAAGAGGAATCTACAAAAGTTAGATGAGCTTTCTGGTAGTAATTACCTCCTACAAATGTGACTCATTCCTGCAATTTGAACATATATGTTTGATGTCCCAAAATCAGCAGTCTTATAAATAAATCTCTGAATCACAAACCAAGAGCCTTAAACTGTTCAAATATTTCTGGATACTCAGGAAAGTGGTAGGGATTGTTCCTCCGGCTTTTAGCTTCATAACAAAATTCCAAAAGTAATGATGTTGATATTTAAGGTAGGCAAATGTCAATAAAAGGCAGGCTGGATAGTAAGAGGTACACAAGCATTAGATGCACAAGTCAATTTTCCCCTGTCTTGTGCATCTGGTTTTGTATACACCTGCCAGTTTTGCAAAGATGGAAGTATAGAATACAGAGGGAGGGCAGGGCTGTAATTCAGAGTTACTGGGAATATAATACTTGTAGAAGGTGACATTTCTTTTATTTCCTCCAGAACCAGAGACTTTGGAAAGTCCCATCTGAATCTTTAACAACTTGGTGCCAGACAAAACCAGATTCTGTAACAGCTTTGTTCCCTATGCCATCCGTCTGGTAAACTTGCAAGATTCATTTTTCTCATCATGTACATGTATACATCTGGGCTAGACTGTGTTGTTTCTATATGTGGGTATATGCATAATTTAGTATTTATTTATTGTGTCATATTTATGTAGTGTATATTGGAAGTGGTGAGCCTTTGAGAGCTGCATGCAATGAAATTCCATTTTAATGTATGCCGATTAGTGTACATTCAAAGTGACAATAAAATTATTCTAAGTTTAAGTCTTTCTAAGTCTAAGTCTAAAATGCAATGCTGAGCTAATGAAAGGAAGGACTAGCCACATGTAATGGGACGGCCTGGCCTGTTCCAGAGGAATACACAGGATCATCCCCTTCAAGACAAGGTTTACAGCAATGAAAGCTGTTCAGGTTTTGGTCCTTGAGACAGAAAATCCCACAAGTGCCTCTCTCCTGACTACAAAAATGCAATCAGTTATATGAGTAATTGTTTCCTGCCCTTTTACAACACTAAAGTTATTGGCCAAGTCAGCTGCTTCATTCTCCTTTATGGCAGAGCTGGTTCACATTCAGCTTTTTCACTAACTGCACTATAGGAGAAGAT